ACTTCGACCACGACTTCTCCCACCGCCTGCACCTCTGTGACATCAAACCCGAAAACTTTGCCATCAGAAGTGACTTCACGGTGAGTGCCCCTGGTGGGGAGGGTGTTTATCACGGGGAGGACAGAACCTTGGGGAGGGCGAATCAAATGGTAAACGGGAGGGTTTCTAAAATCCTGGGAAACCACTGCAAGTGATGCAGCCTGCCAGCCCGCACCACGCCGACCTGCCAAACCTTTCGGGTATGGACGAGAGAATTTCAAGAACATACTCCCTTGACACCCCAGGGCCAGGAATTGTGATGAAAGCTGCCGACAGTGGGAGGCAAGGTCTGTCCTCCTCAAGGGCTGTTCTGGTTTCTCCAAGCAGCTTAGCAGCTTCTTAGAGCCATTTGGAAACAAGTTCTTGCTTTGTGCAGAAAACAATCTTCAGGAGATGAGGAGACTCAGAGGATGATGAGGAAGGACGGCCTTCGGGGACCCACTGGGGGACCGTTTTCACACTGCCCGTGCTCTGGGATGATGCAGCTTTTTCTAATACTTTCTTCCTGGAGAGATGCTAGTTGGCTTCTCTTCTGCGGGTAAGACTTCTAGAGGCACAGCTGGAGTTCTGGTGCTTTCCACAAGAGGCACACCCGCCCGCATGGACAGGGCAGCCTCTGCCCTGCTCTGCAGAGGGCAGATGAATTTTATATCCCGCTCCAGGCAGTGCAGGTGCACAAAGAACTACCCGAGGTAGAGCAGCAGGAGGAACGTCAATGCTTCATTAAAAGATAATCACCTCCCAGGTCCCCTTCAGCTCAGGTAAACTCAGCTCAGGTAATCAGCGTCAGATTAGCACTATAGTGATCTAGGTGTCCCAACACAGGCGTCCTTGCCTGGGTCACTACTCCTGCTGCAGGTGAATGGCCAGGCCAGCTTAACTCCAGCCACCTCGGTGGGCCGGTCATTATGGGCCTGGCTCACGGCCAAACAATGTTCTTCATCACAGATAAAAACATAAAGGGAGAAAAGGAAGGTACCATTACTGCCAGCTAAGCGCTTCCACAGCAGGCAGCACAGTGATGCTCTCCTCAAAGAGCCGGAAGTCTCGGGAGCTAAATTTGCCCCCAGTGTGAATCGCTCTCCAAGCGCGTCTCTTGCCGTGAAGGGCGCTGCAGCATCCTGGCCAAAGTGCTTTGTCCTAACGCCCCGTCCTGGCTGGCCCAAGGGGCGGACAGGCTGGGGGTGCCTCCAAGTGTGGAGGGGAAGTAGCTGAGAGGTTCTGGGAAGTTCCAGAAGGTTCTGGGAAGTTCCAGGCGGGGCCACATGTCGCCATGAGTTCTGCAGGTGCTCAGCCCTGTCTGCGATACCCTGAGCACCATGAGACCCCACCAGAGGAGCTGTGAGTGGGAGGGACCCCAGACTCATTCAGCGTATTTCTTAAAGCCGAGATCCTGGCCAAGGCTCCCCTGCTTGGTGAGCAAGAAGACTGGCTTGTGTGGCCCCCAACATGTGCCTTCCAGCATCTTGCTCACCACAGGCATGAAACATTCGTTCAGTGAAACTGCAGCTGTGCTCTGACCAACCCTGACTGCCGCGGGCAATGGTGCAGGGGCCCTCGGGGCCTCACCTCCGCCCCAGCGCTCGCTCGGATGAGGACAGGGAGGGGAGGACAGCAGAGCCCCCTTTGCCCAGCCTGGCATTACTGACCTTCCTTACAGATGCGGAGATCCACAATGTGAATTTTACCTCTGATTTTACAACTTTTAAGTGAAAACCAGTGGTCCTAGCATCACCAGGGAACATGCTAGAAACGCAAATTCTCTGACTCCACTACTGAGTCTGAAACTCTGGGATGGGATGTGGCCGTCTGTGTTTTAAAGGCAAGTCCTCCAGGTGATTCTGCCATGTGTTCAGCATGAGAACCAGCAGAGCTAGCAGCTAAGGGACCAGCAGGTGGGTCCCTACTTTGGCCCCTGTTGTGGTGTCGCCCAGGTGGAAGGAGGGCGTGTCCTTCAGATGACAGGTGAGGACTGATGACTGCAGTCACCCACTGTCTCCAGGGTTAGTGTTAGGGTTAGGGTCACCCTTGCAAGTCTGAGAATTTGTCCGGTGGTTGCAAACAAACTAGGAAAACACCCTTCCTTCCAAGGGCTCTTTTCAAACAGATGGTGTGGTTTCTACTTGAGAGGCACACTTTCCAGGGGAGAACAAAATAATCCTCGTCAGTCCTTTCTCGTCTGATGCCAGGATGAATTCTGGAGACGATGCAATTAGGTAATTTTGTGCAGGAAGAATGTTACGATTCTCCGGATGTTCTCTAAGAAACTCATGCAGGCTTTTCTGTTCATTTCGTAACTGTTCTTATTTTAGTGCATTGAGTTATGCTCACAGCAGCTGGAATCCATTCTGCACCATACACTAAGAATTAAAAAATAAATCTGGCTCTTCCTGGGAGATAAGAAAGGACCAATCAGAGATGGAAGAAAGAAGTATCAGGAGGCTGGAATCCCACTGCGGGGCCCAGGGAAGCTGGGGGGATGGCCAGGAGCCAGCAAAAGAAGAGGAGGACCCTGGAGCCCCCAAATAAATTACAAAAGACAATAGACTCATTAGCATAGCCTAACACATATTTAGTGTATTAACCAGTATAAATCAAGAAATGAGGTATTTCTTTTGGCTAAATAATGAGAGAGAAAAACTGATTAAAATGATCATTTGTTTGTGGTGCCTGAATTAGTCATTAGGCAAAGCTCTCAAACGGGGACACGTTCCCTGTTCTTTCGTGTCATTATTCTCCATATATTTGGAAATAAATTATTTTCCCTCCTCTCTTGTGCTGAATAATCCCCAACAAACTGCCTTCTGGCGTCAATTCTGAAGAGAAAACAAACTGCCACCTGGGATGTGCCTCTGCAGAGAACTGAGGAGAAAACGAACCCCTTTTTGCGATGCTACCAGAGGCCGACCTGTGAAGGCTTGTGAAACGCCACAGACTGCATCAGATTCATCAAGTCTTCGAACAGCTCTTTAATACCTCGCAGCTATACACTGCTTGGTTTGGGCAGAGTCCAGGTTTTCTCGGGTTTGAGCTCATCTTTTTTTTTTTTAATTCAGGTGGTGGAGGAAAATCTGCATAATTTAGATGTTATTCTTTTACTGGTTTTGAAGCCTACTTGGTCTGAAGCCAGGAAGATAAGTGTGAAATTCCAGGGGGTCATCAGATTTTCATGCTGATAGTGTGACTTAGTTTCTGAAGCTGTTGGATCGGGGTCCAAATGTATCAACCCTCATTTGAGAACTTTGGCTCTGCCACTTGTCCCTGTCCCTTGGAGGCCAGCTGACTCAGGTCACGGGCCATAACTAGACAACGCAGGCACCGGCCACCCCATTTTCACCATCACATCCACTACCTGCCCCTGGAATGCAGTTTTATTTTGTTGCTTCTATCCACAGGGGTAGACTGCCTGCGCCTCACAGCTTTTATATTCCTGAGACTTGAATGTCAGAAACCAAGTGAGAAAGCAATGGACGGAGAGTCAATTCCTTTTTTAAGATATTTCAGAGATTCAACTTTTAAATCTGGGAAAACTTTTAAAGATGAAAAGTGATACTAGTTCCAAATTCTAGGCTTTCACTAGTGACTGCACAGGTCCTTTCTGCAGTTAAACCCTTGCAGTACAGTCTGTGCCAGTGGCTTGTGTGTCCCCAGAACGGTCTGGCTCCTCTCCCGGCCAGCAGACTTCTGTGACCCCCGAGGCCTGTGACACCAGCGCCTGCCAACAGGAACAGGCCTGCTGCACGGGCTCCCTCTGTGCTGAGCCCCCTGGGGGTCCTCTTGATACCTGCGTGCTGTTCCCATTACAGGTAGTGGCTATTGATGTGGACATGGCCTTTTTTGAACCTAAAATGAGGGAAATTCTTGAACAGAATTGCACAGGAGATGAAGACTGCAATTTCTTTGACTGTTTTTCAAAGTGTGACCTGCGAGTCCACAGGTGTGGAGCCCAGAGAGCCAATAGCAACCTGCAGGTGAGCGGTGCTGCCTCCGGGGCCGGGGACCCTGTTCCCCCTGCGGGGGGACCCTGTTCTCTCTGGGTGCCTCTGGTCACCAAGCCGTGGCATCCGGGTGACGGAGCCGAAGGTCATCGCCCTTTCTACACCACCTGGGCTTGGTATGGTCAGTAAGGGCAGGATGGTGGGAGGTGGGGGGTCATGTGCTCTTTGTTGTCTACCCCAGGGGTTGCTGGTCAAGGAACGCCACAGGCCTGATGGGTGGTGCTCCCAGCACAGCCATCACTGGGCTCCCTGCAGCCACGGGGGCTCGCGTGGCTGTTCCCTCTGGGTCTGATTTCTGCATCTACACACACGCACACACACGCACACACACACGTGCACACGCACACACACACAGAATGAGCATCCAGAGGCTGACCCACCAAGGATAAGACTGGAAACAGTGCAAAGCAGCCGAACCAGAGAGGCTGGGCACACACCTCAGTCCCAACAGGCAAGGCGTTAGGCCAGCAGGGGTTAACAGAGGGAGAAACAGCGTGTGTCCCACGTCCAGGAGACCAGCAATAAAGAGGAACCTGTACTGGGTCCAGGCTCTCAGATCTGGTCAGAGTCAGGGAGACCCAGATGCAGTGCTAAAGCCCCCAGCCGTGGGCAGACCTCTCCCTTCTCTGGGCAGACGTCCACTCCCGGCCCTCGCTCCGGCTCTCAGGTAGGTGCAGGTGAGCCCAGCTCATAGGTGTTGATAAGACCAGGAAGACGTCCTGGCAGGGAAGCTGGGCTCACCTCCAACACCGCTGATCTATGCTCTAGCCTCAACTTTCCTACTTTTTTATTCTCCTATCCAGTCCACTCCCCAATCTCACCTCCTCTTCAGTCTGTTCATCCTCACACTTCTCCAACCCGTAAGGCCAATACGACCCCGATGCAGACCTGGTGACACAGACTTAGAGCCTGGAGCCGCATCACCCAGTAACGGAGAACTGACCTGGGGAGACCTGGACAGCTTGTAGTTAACCTGGCGGTCCTGGACCCGGCAGGGCAGAGCCGTGGGTCGGAAGCCCAGTGGAAGCCTCTCCAACACAGCCTCTTTAATGTGACGTGGACTCGCTCCGTCGGTGGGTCTGCAGTGAGATTGTTCTTCTTCAGCTGTGGGAACAAGATGTTTTCACTACAGTGTCAGCCACCTGTGACCTCACCCCACAAAGTGGGGAGACTAACACCTGCCCTGCGCACATAATGGGAGACTAAGGGTATATCCTTAATACAGAAAGGGCTCTCATAGAGCTGTGAAGAGGCAAGAGGGACACACACAAAACTGGCTAGAGAACATGGAACAAATACACGGGAGATGGAGTGCAAAGGGCCAGAGAACCTGGAAAATACTTAATCTCACTACATGCAAATGAAAACCCAGTGATCATGATTTTTTTACTTTCAACTATTGGGAATAGTTGTTAAAATGCTATTTAATCAGCAGGTGAGGCTTCAGGGAAATAGATAAGAGTATATTGTTAACATGATTGTTAAATTCTCTCTCTCTGGAGGGTACATGACTGTTACAAATATTCACTCTCTTTTAGTCAAGCATTCTCATTTGTGTACATATTTGATCACTATTGCCTTTGAAGACCTGGAGATGAAATTATGTTTTAAGGATATGAGAAAATATGAAGCATTCATTAAGTAAAAAAAAATGCAGGTTACAAATCAGCATTTACCACATGATCTCATTTTGGTAAATAGTATGTGACTGGAAAAAAAAAAAGATACCAAAACATCAAAAGCAATTATTTATGGACCAGAGGATTACAGATAATTTGTATTTTCTTCATTTTTTCCTATATTTAAAAAAATTTTCTACAGTGATACGTATTACTTTTCTAACTTACACTTTTACTCAGAAAAAAAAAATCCCTGCCCTGTATCAATTGGTGGACAGATCAAAGGAATATAATTTTTTTTTAATTGCAGAAATAGACTGAATGACACATAGGCATTTAGCATGTGACAAACACAGCCTCTCGGGCCACGGGGAGGGCAGCTGGGTTGTACAGTGAGCGGTGCTGGTAACGTGTGGGAACAACAAATGATCGAATTAACTCCTGTCTCAAGCCTTATGTCAGACTAAATTCCAGATGGCTCAGATACTTAACACCTAAAACATGAAATCCTAAATGTTCCATAAAAAAACCTAGGAGAATTTAAAATATTTTCCTAGAGTTCGGAAGGACTTTCTAAGTACAGAACAAAGCTCAGAGGCTGTAATAGGAAGAACTGACACAGTTAACCATCTTAAAAATATCCATGTGGCAAAAACAAGACAAAATTACAAGACACATGAGGAAACGTAAAAGAGAAAGCTGGCAAAATATTCGCCGTTGCTCTTACAGGCCAGGAAAGTAGGGGCCGGACTCTGCCCTTAGTCCCCGGGTGCCGAGGCTAACGTGCCCCCCAGGATGGTCCTCGGCCCACCACAGGTTCTTCACCATGGTTACCCCACATCCCAGGGCCGTGTCTACTGACTGGTCAGTGGGGGCAGAGGCATATTCAAAGTCTGGCCCCCGGGCCTCTATAAGGAACAGCTCAGTAGGTCACCCCAGCACCAGAAGTCTACCTTCTCCCTTCTCCCACAGTTCTGTGGAAAGATGGTTCCTGAGAACGTACCTTCATAAATCCCTGCATGCAAACCTCCATCTTACAGTCTGCTCCCCAGGAAACCAACCTAAGCAAGGGGCTAATATCCTTAATACACAAAGGGCATTTAGAAATCAATATGAAAAAAAGGGCCAACAATCTTATGGAAATGTGGGCAAGAACATCATTTTGACCATTCACTGGAAAGGAAGCATAAGCATTTTCAACCTGACTGATTAAGAAGAAGACAAATTAAACCACTTCCATTTACCAGTTGGCAAAAATGAAAGACAACACGTGTTGGTGAGGCACGGGGAAAACAAGCATTCTTGTGAAAGGCTGCTGTGAGAGTGTAACTTGGTACAACTTTTATAGGGTTAATCTGGCAATATCTATCAAAACAAAAAATGCACATAATCTGGCCCAAAAATTTCATTTTCAGAAACTTATTCACTTGCAAAATTAAAATGTCCTATCTGCAAGGTACTTATTGCAGCATTTTTCATAATAGCAAAAGTTAGTGAACAACCTAAATTTCTATGAGTAGGGAACTAGCTCAATAATTTGACACAGCCACACATTTGAGGTACAGCCATTAAAACAGAGAGAGTATCCTTATAAGGCTTGAAGGCTCACCCTGATATTTGGTTAAATGGGAAAGGAAGCTCTAGGAACAGGTGTGTAATACACTCCTGTCCAAGGAAAGTGAAGAAAAAGGAAATGCATGCGTATGTATAACCTCTCCAGAAGGATATTCAAGGAAGTAAATGGTTGCCTATCAGAGCCGGAGGCTAAGTGTTTGGCTGTCAGGAGTGGGAATGGAGACTAAGATTACAGTCTATCTTCTTGGACATTTTCAGTGTTTGCACCTGAAAATGTACTATCAACTCAAAAAAGAAATAATTTGTTTTTTAATAGAATCTTTGTCCCTGCAGGGGTTGGGAAACAGAAGTTCGTTATTTGCCTCTATGAAACAGGAGCTCTGTAACAATGAGGCACTTGTTAAGTGAATCTAACACAAAGTGTGGTGTGGAAAAGCATTAAGGATGCAGCTCTCAGTCCAGCCCTCCCACGAGAGAGGAGACTGTAAACCAGACAGCATGACTGAATTGGGAATTCAAAGAGCTCTTCAGCATGAGCGAATTTCATACCCAATGAGAATTAAAGGCTGTGAGATAGGGGCTTAATTTTTACTTCTCCTAAAATAAAACAGTCAAAAGGCTCCTTAAAGGAGCAGCCTCTCCTCTCCCATTTACCTTTTTTCAGTTGGGCCTCAAAGTCCCATCTCATTCACACCAACGTGTCCTCTGGCCCTCAGGACACCCCGTGTCAGCTGGTGATCACTGTCACCGTCACCAACCTCTGGGTAAGAAACCCGGCCTCAGGAGTGCATGACAGCGGGGCTGGCTGCCTCAGACCGGCCAGGGCCCACTCCTCACGCAGCAGTTCCTGCCTGTGACGTTCTGCTCCCTTTTCTCTTCAACAGCGTATTCAGTCTGTTCCCAACAGCTCGGAGGCTGGAAAAGGCGCTGTCCACCTCCCGGGAGGCGGCCTCCCCCTCGCCGAGCCTGTGCTGGGTGGCTCTGGGGCCAGGAGGGCACGCACTTTTCGGAGGCCGGCGACCTCCAGGGCCCCCCTTGGAGGGGCGGAGTGAGGGAGGTCGGGGAAGTTCCCGGGGCGACCCTCCGGCCTGAAATGACGTGTCGCCCCTCTCCCCCAGGTCATCTGTGAGAAGATCTTCCGCCACTGGTTCTCCTCGCCTCTCAGGAGCCCCGCCGTCTCCCTCCCGCTTGGGCGGCAGCTGCGGGCCGCGGTGCAGGAGTGCGCGGCCCCGGGGGACCCCCAGGGACGCGCGCCCCGCAGCGTGTTC